AGGGATTGCAAACATCTTTTACCTTGCAATGTTCCATTATCCTCTTTCCTATTAAGCCCACTGTAGGAGCACAGCTGTGAGTCATCTCTTGAGTCAGGGTAGTATCACATCATCAAAACAATTAACAAGAGCCTTGTGATCTGGCCAAGTTGCCCCCTGATTTGAATAGATAAGTATTGGCATTTTTCCATTTGAATGTGATTGTTTTCTAGCAACAATTTTAAATATTGGACTACTGTTGGGTTTATACCTCCTCCTCTAAAAGATGCCAATGTGGGCCACATTTTCCTCTTTTCAGACAAATTCTTGAGATACAATAACCAATGTTATTGCTATGATATTAAATACAATATTAACCTTATGAACATTACTTAAAGGCATTAATTGATCCCTTCACCAATCACACTGCACATTCACCAAAGACTGACTCAGATTTGGAAGGAATTGGTTGCATTTAAGCTTCTGAAGGATCAAACACTGAGCTATAAGCTGACCGTTGAAAGGGAGAACATTGTACTAGCTAATGAAAAACTTTTCCTGCTTCTAGATTCAGGAAGAATGAAATGGTGGGGGTTTTGTGTGTTCAGAATATTCAGAAATCTTTCTGAGAGCTTTTTTCTTTCCATGTATTTAACCTGAAAAGAATTAAAAAAAAATAAAATTGTTATTAAATAATATATTGCAGTCTCTAGGTCTTATTTGTTCAACTCCTGCCTTCCTCACTGCAGAAAAATCCCTCAAACTGAAAACTTACTGCTTTTCATTAAATACTCAAATATTCTACTTTGGCCATGCCAATATTTTCCTTTCTAAGATTTCCTCTCTATCTAGCTTTCTGTCAGACTGGAGACTCTGTAAATTAACATTGACTGATATTTGTAGTCACAGAATAATTTCATCGTTTCCTACTACAATCTCATCATGAAAGACTGCAGTATCCTTTCTACTATTAAATTGAATTGCAGGTTTCTTTTAGCCAGTGCCTGATGGTATGAGCCAGTTTAGCCTTTTTGACTTCAAGGATTGCACCATCTCTTTTGTCTGAATTCACTAAAGATACTTGTGTTCAGAGTGACTCCTTTGGATCAAACCTAGAAGAAGTCAAGGGCTCTTATATTCTTATTTCTAAAATAACTGTTGAATTTGAAATAGCTGAATTAATAACATAATTGCCAGACAAAACATTGTCAAAATAAAATTGCAGGTGTCCGAGAATACAGTTTCTGACAGTATTGGAGAATAGTCTCAATAGTTCATAAGTTCAACTTAGACCAGAATACCTATGCTTTTTAGCCTTGATTTAGGAAAGCATTTGAACATCTTTTTTAAAACTTTTTAAAAATTAAGACATTTTCTTCAAGTGTCAGTGGCTGTATTCAAATTACATTTCACATTTCCTGGGCACCTGTTTCAGATGCAGACTTCCTCCCTTTTCTTTCTTAGTGTGGCTCCACATTTGTTCCTAGTCTGTGTCAACCATCACAACCCTGCCACTGCAACTGGATTTGCTACTTGATACTTGCTCTGTGTAGCCTTAATGAACCATAGTATTGTCCAACCTCTGTGACAGAAACAGAGGAATATCAGAAGAGAAAAACAGCAAAAAAATCTGCTTTATCTGTGGTGCTGCACACAAGAATTCCTGACAGCATAGGAGACAAACCCAGCTCAGGAAGATTGTATCCAAGTGTATAAATACCTGATGAGGGAAGTAAAGAAGATAGAGCCACACACTTCTCAGTGGTGCAGAGTGACAGGATGAAAGACAACGGATACCAACTGAAATACAGGAAATTCCTTAACATGGAATTTTTCTTCACTTAAGAAAAGACTTTTTCACTGTGAGGGTTGTTGAATGCTGGGCTAGTTGCCCAGAGGGGTGGTGAAGTGTTCATCCTGGGAGATACACAAACCCAACTGGACATGTCCCTGAGCAACTTCTGTAGCTGACCATGCTTGGAGCTGGGGCTCTGAGCTGTGAAACAGCTAGAATGTGAAATTGGTCACTTAAGTGAATATGTTTTTCAGTACAGATAGGCACAATTTTGTCCATTTGTGTGAAGAGGAAAATATATTATGTAATTGTACAGGAAATGTACACAGTTTGCAATCTGAATGTAGATTGGGCTCACACTGTATGTTATTTACAGCTGATATATGGGAATGTTGAAGGATTGCCATATCTTGATGTCTGACTTTTCATTATATGACTGAGAAATGTGAGGTTGCATTTTTGCAATTTTGTCAGACTAAGAAATGGGTCTAATTATTCCCCAGAAGAAAATGATAAGAATTATTTTTGCAGTAAAAAGATAATCTCTAAAATGGTTATATAATATGAAAATAAAAGGTAGGAATTCTGGCAGAAATCAGCAAAAACTATTTAGTACGAATTTCTCAAACATTGTTCCATAGACTAAGACATTGTGGTGATACATGAAGAATGGGCTTGTTATTTGTCTAGTTATTTGCATGAGAACTCTAATTTTCCATATGAGCAATTCCATTAGCTATCCTAGAGAAGCTGTGAGATTTTCTTCTTGTGCAAGGTGCAAAGGGAGCAATTCATGCTGGGCTTTTGTTCTTGGAAAATTAATGTTTGGCTTGACATTGTTGATAGATTGTTTTCAGGAAATCTGCTATCTTCCATGATGCATTTTAAAAGTTTGGTTCAAGACACTTACCCAAGACTCCTTTTTGCACTTTAGCAATAAATAGAGGAAAAAGTATGATAACAACAATAACTATCTTGACAGTCATCACTGGGAAGAGAGCATTAAAAACATAGTCTCATTTAATTTATAGTCAGAGCTATGATAGTATTTAGCAATCCCTGTTCCCTGAGAAGTCATAATTATTCCACTGTTGGAATCTTTTTCCCCTTTCCCCCTGCCTCTTCTGGAAATACTAGGAAGGGTAATACAGTAATACCACCTACTACCCCAAATATATGGTGAAGTTGAAAGGATCCATCTTTCTGTGCCTGTCACAGCAACCTTTGCTGTGTGTGGTTTAACCCCAGCCAGTAACTAAGCACCACGCAGCCGCTCGCTCACCCCTGCCCTCCCAGGGCAATGGGGAGGAAAATGGACAAAATACCTCATGGGTTGAGATAAAGACAGTTTAATAGGATAACAAAGGAAGAGAATAATAATGATAGTAATAACAATAACAATGTATATATATGTGTGTGTATATGTAACTGTAATTATATTATATAAAACAAGTGATGCACATATGCAATTGCTCACCAAATGTGAAAGGAAAAGAAAACTGTCTGATGCCCAGTCTGTTTCCAAGCAGAGATCCCGCCTCCCGGCTAGCTCACCCAGTTCTGTACGGAGCCTGACGTCATATGGCCAGGAACGTCCCTTTGGCCAGCCTGGACCAGCTGTCCTGGCTGTGCTGTCCCTGCTTCTGGTGCATCTTTCAGAAGCTGAAAAGTCCTTGACTTAGTGTAGACCATCAGTGTGTTATCAACATTATTCTCATACTAAATCCAAAACGCAGCACTATACTGGGTACTAGAGAAAAAATTAACTCTGTCTCAGTCGGGGTCAGGACAGCCAGGCAAACACACAGGGCATATTTTAGAGCTGTCCCCTTGGCACAGCACCTGAGGGATGACAGAGACAGTATTGTCATGCAGGAGAGTGTGTTTCTGTGAAAATCCAGCTTCTCATTTCTTTTCTCATGTGTTCAATCAAATTAATGGATTAAGTTACATGTGATTAAAAAACAGTTTATAAAGCCTGGATTTGGTTAGCATGATATTGTAAGAAGGCAATGTCTCACTAAGGATCATTGTGGTGCATTTTTGCTCCCACATTTTGAGTTCTTTGTCTTGATGATTGTTGGCCTCTCTTAGAAGTGAACTGTCGAACTAAAAAAATACAGTATTTTTGTAAATTATTCTATGTAAATCTGAGACTTTGAAAATGGTAATAGTACTGAAGCAACCTGAGATAATACCAGGGCCTGCAGGACCTTGTCACTGAGTCCTTGTACCTGAGTCCTTGGCTTTATCTTTTCTTTTCCCAGTCTAGACCTCTTAGCAGTGAGCTCAGATAACATGGTCACCAAGCATGTCCTCTCACACCTAGGAGTATGCCACTGAATTAGCACTAATTTCCATGACAAGTCTTGTGATGTAGTCAGTACAAAGTATAGATGTCTTTGTTGGGGTGAGTATTTGGCAGATAGCTTCCAAAGAATTGGTGAGCACAGACCTGACACAATCCTTTTCTGGTCCTTTGTTCATTTCCTCATGTGGACAGCTGTTGTTATGGGGGTGTGGTCAGCAAATCAGTCATTTAGGTCATACTGAGTCATAACGGACAAAAGAAACAGTAACGAGGATATGTTGCGACAAGCACGAACTGACACGCTCAACAAGTCAGGCACAAAATTTGGCCAAAACACAGCAAAAACATATCTTTTGAAGAAAAATCCCACCTAGTTCTTCTTTGTAAGCCTTTTGTAAGCATTTGGATTCTTTCAGTGTTTCTCCATCAGTTAAGCAAAAAAACTCATTGGCATTCTCACCATTTATAGTTTCAGCCATCAGGGTATGTTTCAGTCAGCAAAGTTAGCATCTAGTAAAAATGTGCTGTGGTTAACAAAACATGAGTTACTTGAATATGTAAAAGAGAATGTGTTGCATTTATGCAATTGCACTTTTGTGATCTTTATTTTCAATGTGTGATGGAAATTAATTTTGGGGGAAATGCATAACAGTTGCTGATAGCTGTCAGATTTATGCATATGTTGCCTTGCCAATGCAGCATCAGGCTGTAAAGAGAATTTTTCTTTGGTCAGTATGTCATTTTCATAAAGGCTAACAGTATCTTCTGTTAGCCCATCAGCAGGATTGTAAAACTCGAAATACACATGGTGATAAATCTCCTCCAATTACATAATTGTAAAAAGCAGCTTACTGGTAACTTGAAGGTGTAGTGGCTCACTCACTGATTTGAGAATCCATCTTTCTTTGTAAATAGAGCAGAGATTGCCTAAGGCTGGGCCCACCTGCGGAAGGAGAGGTTGTCCAAGTGAAGTGGCCTGATGGAAAGCTGTATGGTGCAAAGTATCTGGGAACAAACACAGCTCACATGTATCAGGTGAGTGTCTATATTCATTACCATGTGCCTGTTTTTTAGATGTCTTTATTGCAAATAGTTCATTTGGCTCTAGCATTAGAATGGCCAGCCACACCTTCAAAGCTGCAAAAGGCTGGAGTGTGGACTTTTATTGTAACTGCTAATGCATTTAAACTAATAAATAAAGCTCTCTAAACCATTAATAAGTGGTGTGCACTCTTTGGGAGTTGAGGTTTCACCTGTTCTTATAAAATTTAGAAAACAGGTTATTTAATAACACAGGTGAACAGGTGGAATATTAAGATTGAAAGATAACTTTTGTTATATTCTTCAGGTTATTTACTTCTATTTGATGTCAGGTAATTATACAATTAATGATGTAAAATTAAGTATTGGTGTGTGACTACCATGAACCTTAGGCATTCTGTAGAAGAATGGAAGGCAGGACACTAAAAAGAAGAGCATAAATAGCTGCAGTTTCATTTGTCTGAGGCACTTTTGAATTAATTAACACATAATCTAAGGAGCGTTTTATCCTCAGCAAAGGTGAAAAGGAACTGAACACTGAAGGCAAGGCTAAAAAGCTGACTTCTGATTTCAGAGACACAATAATTGTTTTTTTATGTACTTGCCTTTGAGAAAAATCAGTCAGCAGCTTTGACTACCCAGGTGAATGGTAGAAACTGCAATAAAACAATCACAATAATAATAGCACTTCTGAAAGAATGAGAATCTAGGTATATTTCATTTATATATATATAATCATTTTCACTTATGTAACTCTTTTCATCTGAAGGCCTCACATTACTCTACGAAAATGGCAAATTTACTATTATATCTGCAGATAAATTAAGGCACAGGGAGGCTAAATGACTTGCTGCATTGACCTTCTCATTTTGCCAATGACTTGGAGTCGAACTCAAGTCCTCAAATGCCTGATCCCTTGAGCTAGTCTCTAAATCTTACCTCTTCCCTTATATTTAGCAGCTGTATTATGTTGTGAAGGTGAAAAGTTCTTTATAAAATATAAAGATTATTGTTCTATAGTAACATTAATCTTCAAATAATTTAATCTTCTAAACAGCTGGTCTTCTGAGGAATGCTGTGAGGTAAATTAGATGAATATTTTTATCTTTCATATTTGAAGGAATCTGACATAGTCAGAACAAACTTCTTTTGTCTGGTTTTAGACCTTTTGGACAACATGATGAAATCAGTTTAGTTAAGGAAAACAAACTAGCGTGTGGAGGTTCAGCAAGGTTTGGAGTTCCCCAGCAAAACAATCACGGGAGATTACTGTAAACGGCACATAACAACCCCTTTCAAAGGGGAAATAGCAAAGATGAAAGATTAGAGGGAGTCCAGATTGCACTGCATAGGACTTTGGAGATGAACAAGTACTTCAATCTGTAGGACAGGAGAGGAGGCTGCCGGAACACAGCCACAGATTACAGAAAGTCTATTACATGGAGGGTGCAAGGCTAACTTCAAGACACATTAGTAGTTTTTCCTCTGGTCTTTCTGCACAGCCTGTCTGATAGCTCCCAGGACTCGTGCATACACATACTCCATTCTTCTTCTGGGTTGTGAGATCTCTGTTGCAGCCTTGAGATTCTCTTATCAAATCTTTTGTGATCTCTTAGATGGTATGACAAAAGGAAAGACTGAAAAGGACTCCAAGAAGTTAGTATTATGATCTAATAAGGAAAATGTGTTCTAGTTGGATAAATCTGTGAATTTTCCTCATGTTTATGAGACATGTAACAAATATGACAGTACTTGTGCCTGCAGGAGCTATGACACAGTGCACCAGTATTTGCGTCATTCAGTTTGACATTCGCGACCTAGTAGCCTACACAATCCCTAAGCAGAGTTATACGTGCCAAATGAAGCAGGTGTTCAAGTGAAATTGTTAATGTGATCTGTGTTTGGTATCTTGATAATATTTGGTATTGACATTCACTGTTTATTTTTGAGCTTCATTTGAGATGATTACATTATCCATTCACCCTATTAATAGCCGTCTAACAATTTCAGCTGACCCTTTAATATATGATGTCCTGATAAAAGAAAATCTCATGGAGAGAACAGCATACTACACAGACACAGAAGCAGCAGAAGTCCAAATAAAATAACTTACTGGATAAAATTGATTATTTGAAATGTAGTATCTGAAGTCTGGATTAAATTTGAGCTATTACAGATGGTGGGTTTATATTTTGCATGAATCATACTATTGAAAGTCTTAGAGGAGCTCTTGTTGTGTTTGCCTTTAAGAGTATAGCAAATTTATTTCCAGTGTGGTATGCTGAGTTATAGCTGAAGAACTTCCCGTTACTCTTCATTGTAAATGTTCAATATATTTCATACTGCAAACATGCCAGATTCTGTGGTTTGAAGCAGTTCCTTGCTGCTGTACACTACCAGTAAAAACAAAAAGATTGCTAATTCAGGAGGTGGTTTTCTGATCTCATGGAGCTGGCACACTTCTTTTCCTGCCCAGTTCTTTCACCAGTGATGCAAAAAATATTATTACCAACTATATTGTGCAAAAACGTATTACCAAATATTTTGTGCAATAAGGAGCAGGAAAAGCAGAAAGGCTGCTCCTATATCCTAGTGAAAAATACCTAAATTGCCGTAATTTTATTAAACAAGCTTAAGCCAAATTGACCTTTAAGTTCCTCTAACATACTACTACCAGACTAGGCTTATGGCGTTAGTAACAGGAACAGAGAGGATCAAGGATGACTTTTGTGACTTCACTGTCCATCTGTGCTCTGTGTATTTTAAATGCATTCCAGATCTGTGCATCCCTGTTAAATTGCTGTAAAAAAATTGCTTTTAAAGAAGTTAATAGTTCATAGATCTGTACGCTGACTTTTGAGAATGGAAAACCCAGTCCATTTACAAGTTCAAATATATGGTTTTTCCAGTTTTATCTATGACAATACTTTTGCTAAGTTAATGTTTTCCTATGTATGTAGTTGGGCTTATTCTTCCAGGCTAAAACTGTTGTCATTCATAAATACTCATTAAGTCACCTAAGGATGTGGAGTCGGACTTCTTTTAAGTTTACACCAAACTTTGAAGTACAGTTTCTGTGGGAACTAAAACTGCAGTCATAGATAATAGGTGAAATTCACAATTGTTAGATGAAATATTAAAAAAAAGAAGCAGCTACTGAAAAGGCTTAAATGCTTCAAAGCCTCAGCATTTTAACATTCCCAACACCTAGTTACATTTCCTTTCTCATTTTCTGCTAAGAGGGTTCATGTTGGATTAAATCTAAACCTAAGCATGATAAAGCTTTTCATCTTCTGAACTGAGCATTTTAAAGAATTCCATCAGATTCAATAAAATTCTGTTAACTGGTATTTCCTTAGTTGTCACTCATACATACTTTCTTTTGACATGGTCTTCCTCAACCTTGAAGCACAGGATGTTAAAATTATTTTTTTATTTTTTACAAGCAAGTAAAAAATCAGAGGCAAATATAAATGGCACAAGGACATTGTAATATGTCACTCCCACAAAAGAATGTTGTCTGTGTTGTTACTGCTCGACATTGCTAATCTAATACATGTATGTATGTCAGTGTTGATTTTGAAGTCTCTTTGCTTACATATTATTTTCAACTTAGGAATGTGTTGCAATTCCTAAGAAATAACATTTTTTATGTTATATCCTAATTTCACCTTACTAAAATAAATAGCAAAATATTTGTATATAATCTTCTGTGTTTGCACATATATTTTTGTCTGGAGACATTCCCAGAAACTTCCTGTGAGAGTTAAAATATGATTTTATTTTTAAATACCCATTTTTTTCAATTAGGTTGAATTTGAAGATGGTTCTCAAATAGTGATGAAGAGAGAAGAGATCTATACACTAGATGAAGAGCTTCCTAAGAGAGTAAAAGCACGTTTTGTGAGTATTTGCTAATGATAACTTTATAGTATATATATATATATACACACTCAAAATGCCAGTAGCACTATACTTGACTTTATTCTGGATTTTCAGTTTTAATTGGCTAAATATTTTGTGAAGCCTGTACTAATATGACTGGCTAAATCAGCACAACAATTAGCACAAGTGTCCATTTGCTAGTGAGTATGGTTAGTTGCTTTTCCAGTACAGGCAAGTGCTGTTATCAAACATAATTCTTTTCTCCTAAAAGGGACATCTTGATAGATCATCTGTCAGATCATGAAGTTAGTAAAACTTCTAAATTGACAGTCATTCTGTTCTTTCAGTATGCTTATAGTGTGTATACATTTTTTAAAACTTTCCAAGTTCTTAGAGCTTTGTGATTTTAAAAGCATTGAATTTAATAAAAATGCAACTAACTAGTTCTAAGAAACAAAGTACCTGATCAGAACTCATTAATGTCACTGGCAGGACTCATCAGCATTTCACTAGTCTTTGGTTTAAAACTAAGTCTTCACTATATTTTTTGAGTTTCCTGCAGTTTCAAACAACATCCACCAGTTAGTCATTTGTATGTATGTCATGTGGAAAAGTTCGAGGTTCATAAAAAGCATAACAAAGTTTGAGAAGGACAAGTTATGCTATACAGTTGTCAGAGGAGACAAGATGGCTGCTGTTACCTATCTTTGTATTCAATGCTAAATATTTTGCAACTCAATCCATTACCAACTCTACTCAGAAGAGCACCATGTTCTTCTCATGTCTATGTTCTATTTTAGAGTTGTTTGTTCAAAACCGCATTGCAAGTTAAATGTTAGTTTTCTTAACCTGTTAAACCATGCATAAAGATGCAAAAACCTTGTCATATTTGAGAACAATAATTCACTTTTCTAAATAAAAATTTCCCTCTTATTTAAAGAATATTTTCAGTAAAGCTTTAAAAAGGAGAGCAATGTGCAGTATATTGTTCATTGATGCAGGGAGGTGAGCACATACACATTACGTGTTCACACATCTGTTATGTGACATTAATTAGCTGATTTTTGAGACCTGAGTGTGAGGAGTTGTAGGGGAATGATGTGTAGATTTGATTCTTCAAGAATACATCGGCTTAGATGAGTTTGGTGGACTAACTAACATAGCATTACACGGAGAGGTAGCTGAAGAAGGTTTCAGCCTGACTTTCCTTTTCTATGCTTCTTGCCACATGCAGCTGCCATCATCATTATTATCATCATTTCCTTTCATCCAGTTCTCTGCAGCCAATACCAACATAGATGCTGTCTATTTCAGAAGCTAGACTCATGTCAAAGGAGAGGATTGGCATCATGTGTGAAAGGGACAGTTAAAGCTGGGAAAGGAAGAAAGAGAAACGTGAGGCTGTCAGCCTGCTGAGGGAGTGTTCACTGGCAGGATGCCCTGTTTTAGTCAAAGAATAGAGTAAGACTAGGACAGCTCTTTCTAATGGGAGGTGCAGTGCTCAAATATTCTTGGCTAAGACACCTTTTTGTCAATGCATTTGGGATAAGTGCACGCATCTTTCAGTGTCCTGACCACCTAGGGTTAAGATAGGTGTGTTGGAAAATGTTAAATGAAGCATCTGGCTATATTCAGTGGGATTTTTCATTCTTCTCAGAAAGCATTTCATTACCATTTTTTGTTTTAGAATTGATGTGTAAAAAGTATTTATAATTAAGTGAGTGTTCTTTAGAATGTAAACTGTTGCATTTCACTAAGGATAACAATACAAATGCAATTGCATTCGTGCTATTCTTAAAATGGAATTTTTATTGATCAATTTTTTTTTTTTTTATTTGACACCATTAACTTCATAGAAGAATAAAGTACAGGTTAAAAACATTGAATTTGGTCAACTGAACAAAACAAACCACAGCCTGTGTTCAGAGCTTTGCATGATGTCCTGCTACTGCCTCGAACTCTATAAATATGTAGCTTAGTCCTCAAGGTACGCTCAATACCTCCTTCCCCTCCTCATGCTGAAGACAGTGCAAACTAAGAGAACTTACGGTATTGTTTTCACCTCTTGAAATAAATGACTCCAATTCCTTCTAAATGATGCTTTGGCTAATCCTGGGAATTTTACCATGACTCCAGTAGTGGAAGTTGGTCCAAAAATTTCTGCTGCTGTTTTTTCCCAAATGGGTTGCTGTTTGCTGTCCCACTGCTTTGTTCAGTTGATTCGGAACTGTTTTAAGTTTGCTGACAAACGATGGAACTTGTGACTCCAGTTCTTTGCAAATTAGTAAGTATGCAGGTTTCTTTTCAGAGGTCCGTGCCATAGTACCTTGCACTTAAAACTTTTCTGAGTAGCACAAAAAGCTGGATAATACTTGACACTGCAAGGATCAAACCTGACCAACAATTGCATCGCTTCCATGTGGCTGTTTTGCACCTTGAGTTAGAGTGATTCTATGACCTCTGGATAAAATAAAAACTAACAGCTGGTATTAGTCACATGTTTTTAAGGAACGCTACAGACTTAGAGAATTAAATGATGTACATGCAAAATATGAAAAAGTCAAAATTATATTTTAAATGTGCATTTAAAATATGTATTTGATATGTAGACATTTTCCTGAAAACAGGTGTAAATGCATGGTCAGTAATGTCGCTAACTTCATGTGATCTAGTGAAATACATCTGAATTTCCATGTAACTTGTCTAAAATACGTCAGAATGTGATGGCCTCTATGGAGTTGTATGTGTAATTAATGTGTGGTTTTAGTCTACAGCCTCTGACATGAGATTTGAAGACACATTTTATGGAGCAGATATTATCTTGGGAGAGAAGAAGAGGCAGAGAGTATTGAGTTCCCGCTTTAGGAATGAATATGTGGATGATCCAGGATACCGCACCTTCTTAAAAAGCTCGTTCCAGAAGAAATGCCAGAAGGGGCTATAAAGGAAGCAAGAGAGAGAAAGGGATGTTGATTAAAAAGCATGCAGCGTTATTTGCAATTGGTTTTGGTTTAATCGAACACTCAGTTTTACAAGGAACTAATCCGTACACCAGCCTCAGAAGCTGAAGTAGTTGAGTTCTGATTTCTTCAGTTAATGTGTTAAAGATTTTGTAATGTTTTGCATTATGAAACTAAGGGGGAAACCAAGAGAGAGTATAGAGGGATTACACAGTGATATGCTGAAGAAAACTTTCAGTCCTGCTCACATTGAAATAGGTGGTAAAATTCCGTTTGAATTATAACAGAAGATTCACATTCAGAAGAGGAGACATTTTAGTAGAGAGATAATTTCAGTGGCTCATTTTTTTCCACAGACAGGGAAGGATGTTAAGTTCAGCAACTGCAGTTTTTATAAAACATTTTTAAAACAAATACAAATATTTACAGGATTAAGACAAACAAAAGCTGTACTTTGTACAGTGCTTTTACATTTTTATGTCACTACTACTTTCAGTAGGGTTTGGTGTGGACTCAACTGTTGACTTAGATATTTTTGGCTTTTAAGAAAGATATCTTCAGTGCAGCAAGGGTTTATTGTAAATTTAAGAGGCAGATTTTGGCAGTTATTTTTAAACATGTTTTTCATAAGGTCTGTTAAAAATAGCTATTTGTAAAATACAATTTTCTTTCATGTATATTAAAAATATAGAATTTAAATATATATGCTTAACAGCCTAGTTTTGAATGAATATATTATGGTCTTCCTTTTAAAATAATATTTTATCAATGTAATAATGTTTTAAAATAAACAAAGAAATAAATACTGTCCTTTTACTTGCAGCATTTTGTCCGTTGATGTGATTTTCAATCCTATTATTTTATACCTATAGGAATCATGAAACTGCACTGTATGCAGTATGCGTGTAGTTTCCTCAACACAACAGAACAGACACACAGACACACACATGGCTTGGTATTAAAATGCAAACTTGGTAAACACTGTACTTTCATTTCTTGTCTTTCTGTTTCCCTTCAGTCTTTGGGATCTTGACCTTTTTGGGTGTTTTCACAGAAAGCAGAAAGTCTGAATTTGCCTGAATGAAAAACTTGGGTATGTGAAACTAGAAGAGAGCTTTATCAAAATGACATCATCTGTTTCTTGTAAATTGGACCGTCAGCAGGATTTCTGACTGTCTGCTACAGGAAAAAGAGCTCTTTCAAAATCCAATTTAAATCTAAGCTCTGCTGTTTCTAGGGTTCTGCTTGCAAAAAAACCTGATTATATGAACCCAAAAAATTTTTCGTGACAAACTCAGGTCTTTATATGCTGAGGCACACAGATCTTTGTTTCAGTGTAGCCCTTGCATGATTGTTACTAATTTTTGAAGTGGACACTGAAGTCTTTTCGTTTACTATGTGACACCTCAATTGACAATTTAATTTTTCTGTGTTACATTAGCTATCTTTTCTTCTACCATGAAATCACTCAGAATCTCTTTAGTCTAAGAAATTACCTAGCTGTGACAATTGGAATGTATTTCTAATTGACAACACTTTCTTTAGAGGTTGTGGTGGGTACTGTCTGGTGCATTTCAGAATATCAGAGCTATTTCTGGTATTGTAAAGGAAAAATGAAATCTAGTGATACCTTTGCAAAATGCAAGATTGTTTCTGCCATCTAGAATTAAATGCAGCTGATAACATAATTAACGATGCTTAGTTTCAAAATACTGTTCTAGGACTGCTTTTATGATCCACCATGAAGGTTCAAAACAACTATGACATTATTAATTGGTAACTACATATAAATATATTTTGTAATTAAACAGATGATGCTATCGGGTACTACAGAGGCTAGAAATCAAATGCATGTTCTTTGCCTGGATCTGATATGACCTGTTATGACACCATTAATAAACTGCCTCATTGCTATAAAATGGATCCAGCATCTTTCTCTTCAAATTCCTTGAAATTTCCTGATTAAACTGCTGCAAATTTATTTAAAAAAAAAAACCAAACAAACAAACATTCAGTTGGCTTGTTTCCCCTTCTTCTCAGCAAAAAAAAAATCTTTGCTTTGGAAGTTCTGGAAGGCTTGCAAATTATTTCTGACTTTTACAAGGTGCTATAAAATACCTGCTATGTAAATGAAGAGCATAGTCATTGTCATGATTGCAGTTTCGTGCCTCCTGTCTCAGGACCTCATGGCCCTTGCAAACTGGGCTGCCTAAACAACTGGCCTAGAAAGAACTTTCCTGTTGGTCTCCAACTCCTGGAAAGCCACATTTTTCAGTTCCATGTCAGGTATTGATACGGACCTTTCAGGTATGTGAGAGAGCAGATTCACATGCAGTGGTTGGTGTGCCATGCGCTGGGAAGCCAGGAGCTTGCCAGTATCTGAGTTGGGTAGGTGGAACCAAAACAGGGTCATTTTCTGTCCCTGTAACCAGTTTTCAACAGCCAGGTTCTTGCTCCAGTAAAACCTTTACATGTTATTTTTGTCCTGATGTTAAGGACAGATGTGTCTTTTCTGTTGAAAATGCATGTCGGCATTCATGACCGTTTCACCTTAGTGTCTTGTGACGAAGAGTAAAGTAGGTAGGAAGAATGAAGTGTTACCTTTAAAGATGGGCACACTGAATCAGTGGTGGTTTTCCTAGGATAAAAAAACCAACCAACCAACCAAACAAAAAAACCCTAAACAACTAAACATCTGTAGCAAGAGAGCACTGCATACCTCAGGGCAGGAAGAACCATGCTCCTTCTATTTCCTTATTCATACAAGAGCAAAGTAATTGTTCTGCATATTCAGAAATCCTGAAGGCTATGGGTGTGCTTGTGAATGTACAAACCCAAAGTAGTGGTTTGACCAGGATACGTTAATTATTTTTTTTTCAAGATATTCACACTGATGAAAAATATCCAGGAAGAGTCTGATTTGATAGTCTTGATTGATGAAAAGCTGAACATGACCTGGCAGTGTGCGCTAGCAGCCCAGAAAAGCAGATGTATCCTGGGCTGCATCAAAAGAGGCGTGATCAGCAGGTCAGGGGAGGTGACCCTGCCCCTCTACTCCACTCTTGTGAGACCCCACCTGCAGTACTGCGTCCAGCTCTGGGGCCCCCAGTACAGGAGAGACATGGAGCTGTTGGAGTGAGTCCAGAGGAGGCCATGAAGCTGATCAGAGGGCTGGAGCACCTCTCCTGTGAGGACAGGCTGAGAGAGTTGGGGTTGTTCAGCCTGGAGAAGAGAAGGCTGCGGGGAGACCTTATAGCAGCCTGCCAGTACCTGAAGGAGCCTACAGGAAAGATGGTGAGGGACTGTTTATCAGGGAGTGTAGTGACAGGACAAGGGGTAATGGGTTTAAACTAAAAGAAGGGCAGATTTAGATTAGATATTATGGAGAAATTCTTTACTGTGAGCGTGGTGAGGCACTGGAACAGGTTGCCCAGAGAAGCTGTGGCTGCCCCCTCCCTGGAAGTGTTCAAGGCCAGGTTGGATGAGGCTTTGGGCAACCTGGTCTAGTGGAGGGTGTCCCTGCCCATGGGAGGGGGGTTGGAACTAGATGGTCTTTGAGGTCCCTTCCAACCCAAACCATTTTGTGATTCTATGATTCTAAGATTCTGTGAAGTACTTGAATTTATGCTGGCTTGTGAAGTGCAATACTTTAGTACTATCACTATGATTTCCACAGCCATAGCTAAGGTCTGATGAAATCAAATTACTAGAATTAGATAAAAATTAGATTACTTCTCTTGAATTCTATTTGTTCTTCTATTACTGTAGCAATGCAATTTTGTTGATGCTTAATAGGAGCTCTACAATATATTGTGTTGTGCTGCAGTGGTTAAAAATTTTCAATTAAAACGAGTAATAGATAAATTCCTGCAAAATGTTTTTGCTTTGAAGCTTGTTTGTACTTTCCAACTCTGATGTAAGTGAATAGCAATTTTTTTGTACAGAGAAGTTAATATGATACTCTGATACTTACAAACAAAATATAGCAGGATAAAAGCTGCCCCTATTTATGCAGGTCCACCCTTTCTGATTTTGTGAGATGTTCTCCACTGTAGAAGACATAATAGGAAAAATTACTGATAGTCTAAATACTGCTTGAATGACCATCTGGCTAAATAACAAATGGTTGTATTTGCTACCTGTTCTGCTTGATTTAGCTATCTCTAGTGGCACAATCACAACTGTTAACTTTGATAACAGATGAAGGCAAAATGATAATTTCACTTGCTGTTATGAAATGCTGCTTTTTCTTCAGTCTCTAAATTTTGTAGTGGTATTTCTGTTTCTTGTTAACCGCCTGAAATATTTCACACCAGTGTCCAATAGCATGTTAGCAGAAGAGAAGGCCTATGTTTGGTGGGCAAGAGGAATCTTTCCTGCACATATGCACACAAGGCATCTTTTTTTCAAAATTGCAGCACCATCTGATAAATTTAACACACATCTTTGAACTTCAAAAGCCATCTCTGAGGCTTCTAGTCTTGAATTCCAAATGCCATAGATGATAGGATTTTTCTGTGACTCATCTAGCAAAAAGAAAATGAGTGATGATGTGGTAGGGCATAAAGATTTTACTGGAGTTCATCTGAGCTGTTGTATATACTGTCTACTTACTTATGGTTTCACTATTACTATCAGACTGAATTGTCCTGTAGCCATGCTGCTGAGATGTTATTCTTAGTACTTTAATGTATTTCCTCTGTATCTTGATCTGTAGGCTGGTAGAGCTGGTAGCTGCCAAAACTTTCTTCTGCAAGAGCCTGTTTTGAGTTACTAAAAAATTTGGCAATTCAGATATCTTACAGTTGAAATGTTTATGTATCAGTTTGTGCCTGAAAAAAAGTCAGAGAACTCTACTTTAAACAGTTTGGTCATTTGGAAGGGGAGAATTAAGGAAAAAAAAAAAAAAAAAAGTTCATTCTTTCTCTCCTGAAGTTGCCCAGCCATTTATTTGAGAATGTCAGTGGTTCTTTTATACAGTGGA